AAGTTCTTTTTCTCTTTCTTCTTAGCTCTCCCTAACGTGTGGTCTTTAACCTCTTGCTTTTTTCTGATGGTTTCAAAATGGCTGTTCCATCTCCTTCAATGAGTTCCAGGCAAGAGCATTTTAAGTTTACTCCCTTTAATAAGCTTTCTGGTACAGCTCCTCTCAGCTACTTCTATTTACATCTCTTTTGCCAGAATTACACCACATGACCACTCCTATGTAATTTTTTAAGCACGGCATTTTTTTTTTTTTTTTTTTTTACTCCAAGCAGAATTGTACAGTGGATATTAGCTAGACTACTAGCAATCTCTGCTATACCAGTGTTGGCTAGAATGAAAACTATGGTATCAAAATCATAATGATAAGAACTATGATCTTTTTATTAGTAGCTTATTTGTAGTGATTTGTTTTTAAATTCAAATAAAGTGTTTCCAATTTGACTTTCTTTCTCTCTCACTCTCTTTCTTCCTCTTCTTTCTTTCCTTTCTTTCTCTCCATGCCCAGCGTGGAGCCCAACACAGGGCCGGAACTCACAACCCTGGGTTCAAGATTTAAGCTGAGATCAAGAGTCCAATGCTTAACCAACTGAAACACCCAGGCTGCCCTGACTCTGTCTTTTTAATTTCATCATTACTGATGGAGATTCTGGCACAGAATTCCCTTTGTCAATTTCAATAGTACTATCTTCCGTTTCCAATTACCAGAAAGTTTTTTAACTAGAAGTAAAGGTATTTATTTAATCTTTTGAGAAGTATGGTGGTATACAAGAATCTTTTTAGAACAATACAATGTATGATTTTAAATGTAGCATATAACTTTCTGGATACATTACAAAATTTAAATGATTCATATTTCATATTATTAAATGGCATAAAACCATTTAAATCAAGAAAAATTATCAATATTTATATATTTTAAAAGAACCTAGTCAGTTGTGTAAGAACAAAATCTAACATGTAATTTTAAGGCAAAGGATCTGCTGAAGTCAGTGATTTTAAAATTCTTTGACCAGGGTCACCTGGGTGGCTCAGATGGTTAAGCGTCTGCTTTTGGCTCAGGTCATGATCCTAGGGTCCTGGAATCAAGCCCTGCATCCTAGGATCGAGCCCCGCATTTGGCTCCCTGCTCGGTGGGGAGCCTGCTTCTCCCTCTCCCTCTACTCTTCCCCCCTGCTTGTGCTCTCTCGCTCTGTCAAATAAATAAAATCTTTTAAAAAAAAATTCTTTGACCAAAAGGAAAGAGGTAAACAAATACAAATGAGAACACTTCTGGTAAACAAAGAAATTTAGAACTGGCTTGCATACCTAAGATTAAATGCAGTTTTATATGGCAAGTGATGAGCAAGGATTAGAGGTTGATGGTTATGTTCCACAAGATGAAACACAACATGCACATACATACACGCATGACAGAAGCAAAGAGAAAAGAAAGATGTTTAAGAATTGTAGGTTTTAAAACTGAGGGTTGTTGGAGTGGGGGGTGGGGTGGGAGGGATGGGGTGACTGCGTGATAGACACTGGGTGATAGACACAGGGTATGTGCTCTGGTAAGCACTGTGAATTGTGCAAGACTGTTGAATCTCAGATCTGTACCTCTGAAACAAATAATGCAATATATGTTAAGAAAAAAAAAAAAGAAGAAGATAGTAGGAGGGGAAGAATGAAGGGGGGGAAATCGGAGGGGGAGACAAACCATGAGAGACGATGGACTCTGAAAAACAAACTGAGGGTTCTAGAGGGGAGGGGGGTGGGAGGATGGGTTAGCCTGGTGATGGGTATTAAAGAGGGCATGTACTGAATGGAGCACTGGGTGTTATGCACAAACAATGAATCATGGAACACTACATCTAAAACTAATGATGCAATGTATGGGGATAATATAAGAATAAAAAAATTTAAAAAAAAAAGAATTGTAGGTTTTATTTTTAAGTAGGATGCCTTTACAACCAAAATACCAAAAACTGATACTGTAATCACCAAGTCCCTTGACTGCTCGACCAACCTCAGCTTTCCCGACTTCCATCAGACTGCAGAGGTCATAGAACATAAAGCATGGGACAGACTTGGCTGTGCATTCCTACTCCACAGTTACTATCTGTGTGACTTGGGTGTATTTTAAAACCCCTCTACGTCTGTTTCTTCATCTGTAAAATAGAGGATAATAGTAGTACCTGTGTCATAGATTACTGAAGGATTAAACAGGAAGATACAAGTAGAACATGTAGCAGCTAGGAAGGACTCAAAAAAGCATTCGTTTTTGACAGCATAACTCGACCAAACTTTTCAGAAGCACTATTTTCACAAACTTGTTTCCCTACCTCCAACTCTAAGAATATTCTGTCACATGAATTCCAAATACATTTGCTTCTAACTCAAGGACCTCCCTCCCCAAACACTATCCACAGTTCCCATTTCTCCAGGCATTTTTTACTGTTCTCAATCCATTTTCTCTAGGAACTTTGAAAATACCATCCTCATTTGCAAATTGAAAATACCATCCTCATTTGCATTCAGAGCTTTCCAGGTTTGGCTGAAATTCAGCCTCCTTTAAACCTTTACAGACTAACATCCTCCATGACCGCAACATCTACTGAAATGATATAGGTGCTCCTTCTCTTCATCACCTTTTCATGGTTTGTCCTTCACTTGATTTGGTACTATTTACAAGTCACTTGATATCAGGATGTCTTCCAGCCTCGTTTCCCGCCACATGACCTATTTCTATTGATAGAAGTAGCTTTCCAGACCATAGTATTTCACACATGTGTTCTTTACAAAAAAAAAAAAAAAAAAATCCTTGCAACTTTTTTTCCTGTTCAGGTAGCTTCAAGGTTTTGTCTGGTAAGAAGGTTCAATATTCAGTTCAAATGCCACCTTCCTACAGCTTTCTGTAACCGTTGCCCAGAGGCATAAGGCATTTAACTATGTTGTTCTCATACTGTCCTATTGAATAGGCACTTGTAAAATGTTTCTTCATAACCTGAAAAGGTAGGCCTTACTGAGCCCTTTTAATAGATGAGGAATCTGAGGTTGGGGGAGATTTGGTGATTGCCCAAGGACACAGCTATGAAGTCGGCAAAGCCAAGATCAGACGACTTGCCTTCTGACAGAGGATGCTGCCTCTCACCTGTGTCGAGCGGCAGTAGTATGTGCCTTCTACAGAGTCAGTATGGCTGCTTAGCATCTGCTCTACAAGGGACGTGGCAGTTAGCAGTTGCTCAATAAATATTTGTTGAGTGTACAAGTCATTAGAACTCAGTAAACACCGGGGAACCCTCCTACACTGTTGGTGGGAATGCAAGCTGGTGCAGCCACTCTGGAAAACAGTATGGAGGCTCCTCAAAAAGTTGAAAATAGAGCTACCATACGATCCAGCAATCGCACTACTGGGTATTTACCCCAAAGATATAAATGTAGGGATCCAAAGGGGTACGTGCACCCCGATGTTCATAGCAGCAATGTCCACAATAGCCAAACTGTGGAAAGAGCCAAGATGTCCATCGACAGATGAATGGATAAAGAAGAGGTGGTATATATATACAATGGAATATTATGCAGCCATCAAAAGGAATGAGATCTTGCCATTTGCAATGACGTGGATGGAACTGGAGGGTATTATGCTGAGCGAAGTAAGTCAAACAGAGAAAGACATGTATCATATGACCTCACTGATATGAGGAATTCTTAATCTCAGGAAACAAACTGAGGGTTCTAGAGGGGAGGGGGGTGGGAGGATGGGTTAGCCTGGTGATGGGTATTAAAGAGGGCACGTTCTGCATGGAGCACTGGGTGTTATGCACAAACAATGAATCATGGAACACTACATCTAAAACTAATGATGTAATGTATGGTGATTAACACAACAATAAAAAAATTTTAAAAATTAAAAAAAAAAGAACTCAGTAAACACCGCAGAAAATGCAGCAAAGAATGCTGCAGCTGGAAGGGACACAGATTTTTATCATACAGAAAAATCATGAAAGAGAGGCGCCTGGGAGGGCTCAGTCGGCTAAGGGACTTCCGCTGGGGTCATGATCTCTGGGTCCTGGGATCCAGCCGGCTTCAGGCTCCCCCCTGGCGCGGGGTCTGTTTGTCCTTCTCCCTCTGCCCCTCCCCCCACTCGCGCGCGCTCTTTCTCAAATAAATAAAATCTTTTTTAAAAAAAAGAAAGGGAGGCTTCAAGATGTTAGGGTCCACAGCTAGTTAGTGGCAGAGATAAGCCTAGAAAGACTTCATACACCAAATAAACAATACTATTGAAGGCTTGCTACGGGGGAGTGAGTGCTAGACTCCGGGGAGACAACGTTGCCAATTCCTCCCCAGAGCGCTGAAATAGCACTGCAGGAGACCAAGGTGGGTCTAAGTTCCCAGAGAAAAGGATGTGAAGGAAGGACCAGGAGATA